ATGATTCTTTCAACACTATACCAACTCAAGAGTCAGGAAAAAGCACTATACCGACGCAAGAGTCGTTCAAACCATTATTCGAAGGTAGAGCCGACACCGGATTCGTTGACGAAGAACCCTCTCCAGACTTCTTCTTGGTCGTGGTCTTTTTCTTGGTCGTGACTGCTATGCCCTTGCCTCTATCGGATAATTCCTTCCTCTTCTTACGGTTCGAGACAGTCGGAGGTATACGAGGTTCACGTGGTTCTTCCACTGCAAAAAAACACACAAATAAAAATTAATATACATAATATAAACACAAGCAAATAAAAAAAAAAAAAAAAAAAAAAAAATTCACAGTTCAAATTCGACAGCAACCTGTCGAAAATGCAACCCATTTTCGACAGGTAGCTGTCGAAAATTACCAAAATCCAAATTCAACACTTTCACCATTTTCGACATCTACATGTCGATTTTGGATGAATTTTCGACATCAACCTGTCGAAAATTCATCGAAAATCGACATATACAGGTCGAAAATGGTGAACGAAGAACCGACCCACGAATCTCAAATCAATGCTCAAATCGACTGAAATCAGATGCACCCATTACTAATTAACGATCATTCTAACCTAAAACAACCAAATCCTAATTACCCATATCAAACAATCGAATCTTAAATAAATATTAAAGAAAAAAAAGTCGAAACAACTATAACTTACTATTCGAAGACGACGACGGCGGCGGCTTTGGGCGACGTTGGGCGGCGTTCGGCGGTGTTTGGCGTCGGCGTCCGGCGGCGGCGATGGTTGGAGCGGCGGCGGCGGCGTCGGGCGGCGTCGGGCGGAGGGAGGTTTTTTGTGTTTGAATTTTTTTTTTCTTTTTTTTTATTTGGTTTTCAAATAGGTAATTTCAAAGAAAAATTGATGTAATTAGTATTTTGTATGAAAGGGTATTTTTGTACTTTTATTTTTATTTTTGTATTAAAGTAAGAAAAAACTTATAAATATGTACTCAATTGTGGTTTTCAACTAGGTAGTATTCAACTAAGCAAAAATTAGTATTCAAAATAGTTGCCCCCATAATACTAGGCCCAATCAACAATTTACCAACCCTCCTACTATTCTCGGGGCCTAATCTCAGTATCCACAACTTCATGGACTAAATTATTATATTATTCAAAATATTGGGGTGAAAGTGAAAATATTCGTTCCCCTTCGTTTCAGTCTCGCAGGTCTTGCTTCAGTCTGCTGATGTGAACACTGACGACTACATCGGTAAAAATCCCCTCTTTCGCCATCCAATATTTCGTGTAAAAAGGTAATCCCCATTTCTCGATTAACCCTTCTTTATTTGATTAGTACTAATTTTTCATGCGAATCTGTTGATTGTTCATTTTCTTCGATTGATGCCTGTTTTTTTCTTAATCACCGTTTGAGTATTTAGTCAACTTCTTGTAATTGCGCTCAACAATTTCGCCATTTTTCATGAAATGACACAATTGATTGCGTGGTAATTCGAATTAGGTTATTGTTAATGTTTTTTTATCTATTCAAATTATTTCGTTATCTATGTTTGTTTTCGTCTTCCCTGATTTGTGGTTCAAAGTGGGTTTGTTTACTTTCTAATGGTTGATTTTTTTTTATTTTTTTTTCCCCGGTGAATTTGCTCCGGAATTTTTGAAACATGGATTATACAATAATGAAAGTTGTTAGAATCAAAATGGTTATTTGGGAAATGAATAGTGGAATGAATGTGTAACCTTCGTCGTTCGAATTAGGTTTTTTTGTTTTTTTTAATTCAGTTCTTGTTTGAATTTTGATACTTGTTTAGGTCAATAGCGGTCGAATTCTACAATTGCCTTTTCTATCCGGTAAATTTTGAATTTTTATGATGCAATTGTGCCTTTTTCAGGTTTACGGGTGTTTCTCGTTTTCGAGCAGATAGAATGGAATTACGCTTATACTCGTGATTTTGAGAAACTTTTTGCTATTTGTTCGTATGATCTCCTGAGCCAAAAAAAAAAGCTTGTATATTCCACCCGATCCTAATTGTCGATAACTAGGTGTTTTTCAGTTGATCCAAGACTACCTTTAGCTAAAGAAACCGACTTTATTTTTTCAAACATGGAGCCCTTATGGAAGCTCGTTTATCTGCTCGAACCATCTTCCGTCACCCTCATTTTCACAGCTGTAGCAGTGTCGTACGCATCTGCTACGAGAGCTTTAAATTACGGAAAGGAAATGGAGAGGAACCACGACCTATCAGAAGCTTCCATTACCTTAGATAGATCTCAAGCCCTAATGATTCCGATAATGAGTTCATTCAGCTTACTCTTCATGTTCTATTTATTTTCCTCCGTATCTCAAATCCTAACTGCTTTCACCGCAGTTGCCTCAGCATCAGCCTTATACTTTTGCTTCTCTCCATACATCGCCCAAATCAAATCGCAGTTCGGTTTGACCGACCCGTACATATCTCGGTGCTGTTCGAAGCCATTCACACGGATCCAAAGTCTTCTGTTGTTTCTTTGCGTTTCTTTAGTCTTATCGTGGCTTGTATCCGGGCATTGGATATTGAACAACTTGTTGGGTATCTCTCTTTGCATTGCCTTTGTCAGCCATGTGAGGCTTCCGAATATCAAGATTTGCGCGATGCTCCTCGCATGCCTGTTTGTGTATGACGTGTTTTGGGTCTTTTTCTCGGAGAGGTTTTTCGGGGCGAACGTTATGGTTTCGGTTGCTACGCAGCAAGCGTCTAATCCTGTGCATACGGTGGCTAATAGCTTGAGTCTACCTGGATTGGAGATGATAACGAAGAAACTTGAGTTGCCTGTCAAGATTGTTTTTCCGAGGAATATGTTGGGCGGTGCAGTGCCTGGAAATAGTGTTTCTGATTACATGATGCTTGGCCTTGGAGATATGGTAAGATATATTGGTTATAACTGTTTGAACTTTGAATTAACCGCTTAATACGGCTACTTATTCTGCTAATATTTGCAGATTAAGTTTGTTTCGACGCATTTTTCTCATTGGCAGTAATTCAATTCTACCATTGCACTGCATGTATAATGCACGTAGTCGTAACATTGGATTTGATCTCTGCTTAAATGTTTGTTTCGACATGTACGATGTTGAGTTTGATCTCAATAGATGATTTTTTAATTTTTAATTTTTTATTTATTTCAAAGATATAATTAAGAGGCAATTCCAATGTTAGAAATTTTAGTATTATTTATAAAATTCATGTTAAGTGCTGCTGACTTGTTTCTCTACGGTAATTTTTATGCTTTCTCTTCCGTCAGATTTTTTTTTTCTCACTGTAATAATTCAAGTAACGCTTCTTTGGTTATGCATTTCGATCTTATAGGCTATTCCTTCGATGCTTTTAGCATTGGTTCTCTGTTTCGATAATCGAAAAGTCCGGGATTCCACAACTCCATCGGATGTTCTACAATCTTCAAAAGGGTTCAAATACTTTTGGCACGCCCTCTCTGGATACGCTATCGGTCTCTTCATTGCCTTGGCAGCTGGCATTTTGACGCGTTCACCTCAGCCAGCACTTCTTTATCTGGTATACACTTACACCAATATTTATCATATATATATTTTATTTTATTCTATTTCTAATTGTGTAGCTCGTATTTTGATGGAGTGTAGGTACCGTGTACATTGGGGCCGATAGTAGTGCTGTCTTGGATGAAGAACGATCTGGCTGAGTTGTGGGAAGGAAATACGGTGATTCAAAACGAGAAAGCCCATCTGACCGGAGTATAAGAATTTACTGGGCGTAATATCTGAACAAAACTTAATTATCAAAAATTAGGCCATTTATTATGTTGGCAGCACTGGATTATGCAAGAACGTTTATTTTTCTTGTACCTAATCTATATATTTTTATTCTATAAAAAAGGCTAGCTATATTTTGTTTGATTGTGTGTCTGGATTATTGCATGGTAGCAATTTCATGACTATACTGTCTGTTATGTCTATTGTGTGTGGAGTGTTTGGTGCAGATTTCTCAGTGATTCAAAATGAAATGCTATTTACGGTCACAAAATTGCTATTTGCGGTTTATAACAAAACCCCCAAAACCTTTTAAAATATCAAAAAAAAACCCCAAAATTGCAAATAGCTAAAAAAAAAAAAAAAATCGAAAATTCGAAATCAAGCTTGAAGAAGGGTTGGGCTTCGATTTTTTTTTATGTAATTTCGACTCTTTTATGTGTAATATGTAGGTCGATTACGGAACCAATTTCATGTTAAAAAGCCCTACAAATCGATTTGTAGGGCTTTTTTTTCGCAAAAAAATGTTGGAACGCCCAAGATGGGCGTTCAATTAAAAAAGAAAAAAATTGCACTGGACGCCCAACTCGGGCGCCTAAAAGCAGCTTGCACGCCCAACTTGGGCGTGCACTGCATGAATGGGCGCCCAAGTTGGGCTATTACGCGTTTTGGGGGGTTTTTGGATTTTTTTGAGAAGTTTTGGGGTTTTAGAGAGATAAAGTGTTTTTTTAGGGGGTTTTGTTATAAACCGCAAATAGCAATTTCCAAACCGCAAATAGCAATTCCCCGATTCAAATGATGGAACCCTTACTAAGGTGGTGTTTCTAAAAGCTTATTTAATAGCTGAAGTTAGTAATTGTGAGTTAAGTGGATATTAAACTTTTATTTATAAAAGTTGGCGTATCTGCAAATATAATGGAACATTAACTTAAATAGGAAAAAACAGGTGCACAGTGGTTTTAAAAGATAGCTTAAAATAACTTACAGTTAAACCTCTATAAATTAGTATAGTCGGGATCATGGAAATTCGATTAATTTAGCGAATTATTAAATTATCGAGTTAATAATTTTAATAACGTTTTCACTGAGTCGGGACCAAGAGAAACTATTATTTTATCGAAATTATTAATTTATCGAGTATTAAGAGAAACAAAAGTAATAGTAATAGTCGGGATCATGGAAATTCGATTAATTTAGCGAATTATTAAATTATCGAGTTAATAATTTTAACAACGTTTTCACTGAGTCGGAACCAAGAGAAACTATTATTTAATCGAAATTATTAATTTATCGAGTATTAAGAGAAACAAAAGTAATAGTTGATCTTATTTTGTGTGTTGCCTCTTGCTAATATAATAGTCAAAAGTGAAGAAGCAATTGACTAAAGATTCAATCTGCACAAAAAAATCGAAATAGGGATTCCCTTACAACCCCACAAGTGTCAAATTAAAATTTAATACACCATGTCGATGCTTACTCTTCTTATTTTTTGTGTGTTACATCTAGTATAATGATAAATATAGATTGATTTACATGGTATAAATTGACTAATGCTAATGCTAATCCTAGTCTTAATATGTTAATGAAATTCTAATGGTAAATTATTACTGATCACTGAATCAGTAAGAACTTTGATCTGACGAGACTCGCGTCTCTTTCAACGTATCCCACCAGATCTATTGGAGTTCTAAAGTCCTCGTGTATGTTATCTTTATCTAAAACTTTCATTTCAAAATCATATTTACTTTATTCGTTATGATAAAATATGATTACAATCGCATGTCACATAAGTTCATTTATGTGTTTAATTTATTTATACTAATGTTAATGGCAATTCTAATAAAAATATTAATTAATGCTAATGCTAATTGATGAACTCATCCAATGAAAAAGAAAAAGAAAAAGAAAAAGAAAAAGATTGAAGACCCGCCCAATGCAAAATTACATTTCAATTCGGACCCGAATAGGCTCCATTAAACCCGACGGGGCGTTGGAGCAAATACCCGGATTCTAAAACCCTGGCATTTACCCGCTCACAAATTCTTCCACCACCGGAGCTCCGTCGAGGAAGACGAAGAGAAACTCAAATTGAGAATGGGGACGTCTGTGCAGGTTACGCCATTGTGTGGAGTGTACAACGAGAATCCCCTTTCCTACTTAGTCTCAATCGACGGCTTCAATTTCCTCATAGACTGCGGTTGGAACGACCATTTCGACACCTCCCTTCTCGAACCTCTCTCCAGGTTTTTTATTTTTATTTTTATTTTTTTACCTCTCTCTCTCTCTCTCTCTAGGTTGAATTTACTGCATGTTTTCGTCTATGTTCAAGTAGAAATAAATCATGTTCATACTGAAGTTCAGCTTACTCAGTGAATTGTGTTTAGACCGGTGGCAATTCATGATTTTGTTCAAATTTGTGAAAATAATGCTACCAGTCTAGTAAATAATTGATTTTCTAAGAGCAAAAAAAACAGCTATCAGTGCAAGAACGAGAGTTGAATCAATTTTCAGACACGATAAAGAAATGTTTTCTGGACTGTGTTCTATATCTAATTCTCTACTTCTCACTTCCTTTGTTTCTTTCCGAACCACTTTCTAGCGCAGAAAAAAAAAAAAAAGAAAAGAAAAAAAGAAAGGAGAGGCGTAAACATGATTTCTATTCTCCTGGTAATTTTTATCTGACAAGGTTCCAGAGTTGTGTTTCATGTCTAGTTCTCTACTTACCTCTTTCTGTAGAGGGTTTGGAATAAATTCACAATCAGGTTGAAAGACAGTAAAAACCTTATTAGTTTTCCGTTCACAACGAAAATCATTTTCCTCCAATATTTGTTACTAATGCCATACTGCCCGAAGTACGAGCAGCTCCATCAATTCTACAAGTAGAACCATCACTCTGAAACAAAATATCAATGTCCAATTAAGAGTCTGATTGCAGCTACTTGGTACCCCTGAATCTTGACTTCTGGATCTGCCTTGAGTAGGAAATTGGGATGTTGAGTTATTGCACTTTCCGGCGTGTCAGGATTACGATTACGGGGTTAGTGGGACTCTTGTGTTGAAATAACATTTTGATGTTATTTGGTGTGTATTAGGTATCTATTAATTCTTGAATGAAAGTAATTACCAGTAAGAATCAGAGTGGGGAGTTGGATTGAGGAATTTTGAGTACAAAGGATTGAATGGTGATCCTTAATATTATGTTCGGGATGTTGATTTGGGATATTTGTGTATGCATTCATCAATCTATGTTCAAAAGATTTTTTGTTTCAGGTTCAAGTGTAAGGGGCTAAAATTCATGTGCCTAATTTAGCAAAAGTTTTTAAGACATGTTAACTGGGTGGAAAATATTTGACATGTTAAGTGAGCGGTAACCAAAACTTACCAGTATGCATGAAATCTATGTTTGGGCAATAAAATATCATTGGTCGATTAAGATTGTCGTTTGCTGGATGTTGAAGCAGAATTGTAGCTAATACAGTGTCTAAAAGACTAAAAGAAGTTTGGAAAAATCATTTGAACTGCATTAGAGCTGAATTTTAAAATTACGTTGACAAATTTCTTCAACTTCTCATGCGTGGGAGCCGCAGATATAGACAAGCTAATGAACTTGCTGTTAAAGAAGTATTTCAAAATTAAAGGAAAAGACTACAGATGCTACACCTAAAAGCACACTATTGACCAAGTTTAGGGAGCTTGCTTTGCATCATTATGTTATTTGTTACACTAGACAGCTATCGTTGTTAAATTACTCTATTGGCTGCATAATGTTGGTTTGAGTTTTATAAAATTTCAATAATAGAAGAAGAGCTCATATTTACTGGATGCTGCCATTTTGATTTTATTTGCTGAGATAGCTGTGTTGACCAGGGTAGCTTCAACTGTGGATGCTGTCTTGCTATCACACCCAGACACACTTCACCTTGGTTCTTTACCGTATGCCATGAAGCAACTTGGACTTAGTGCTCCAGTTTTTGCAACTGAACCTGTTTACAGATTGGGCCTCCTGACCATGTATGATCACTATCTGTCTCGAAAGGTGAAGTTCTATTTTGGGTGTTTGATTGTATCAAGTGTCTTTGATCTTGGTTCTGGTTACTTTGACCTAATGCTTATCTTTCGGGAAAATTGGAGCTATGAAAGTGATTTAGCTTTTCTAAAGCAGATTAAACTGCAAAGCAAGGGCATCTCAAAACAGTGTTCATCTGTCAACTGTTGTGGCGATTAAAAGCAACTGCAGCCTTTTTATTAAAATATGAAATATCTAAATTTCGTTAAAAAATGCTTTTATACTATATATGTTATTTTGAAGAATTGTTTATTTACCATGGATCACATGACATAATTCTAGCTAGATTTCTGAACAAGAGACAGCGCTCATAGTAAACTGATGACAACATCATCTTCTTGTAAACTTTTCAATATAATAGGTTAAAAGAGAAATTTTATTTCATGTTCACATAAACAAGTTCATATAGTGAGAACGGCCTGTCAAATCTTGTAAATTTGTAATATTATAGTAGATTATTGTAGTTGGATTAATACAACCTGGGGAAAAAACTTTCATTTCCTTGGTCAGTCAAACTATTACAACTTTTGTCCAAAATAGATGATATTATCGTGCAGTTATTGTTACAATTGACTCATTGTATGTAATACCCTTTTTTTCCCTTAGTCTTATAGAATATAACAGATTGCAGAATGGTACCAGAAAAATCATTTTGAAGGTTTTATCATATAAAAAATTCAAATACTTCAGCAGGAGACTGCCTTAGAAACTTGCATTCCGGCTTCTGTTGTAGCAAGTAGCAATAACACTGGAAATAGGACATATAAGTTCAATTACTTTAACAGGATAAGAAAGGAAAGCAATATTGCTTACTAAATTGATGACTGAGTGAAGAAATGCGGATAAAATCCAAGCCAGCGATGCATGAATAAACTGATGGGTTATGGTTATGGATGTGTTTGTCCTTAAATGTAATTACTTTACCAAAAGTTCGTTCTTCGTTACTCACGATTTATCATTTTTGAAACAAATGATAGCTTGGTTCTAACACGTGAACTTTAAGTTGAAGCTGTTCCATTCTCACTATATGAACTTGTTTATGTGAGCATGAATAAAATTTCTCTTTTAACCTATTATATTGAAAAGTTTACAAGAAGATGATGTTGTCATCAGTTTACGCTCTTACTTAGGAGTATCTCCCTAGTTATTTAATAGTATCTCCTTATGTGCAGCAAGTATCCGAGTTCGATTTGTTTACGCTGGATGACATTGATTCTGCATTCCAAAACATAACCAGATTGAACCAATCTCAGAACTATTATATGTCTGGTAAGTTTTTCTTTGCCTTATATTTGCATCATCTTTAGGAGTTCAGATAGTTTGAAATCTTTGCATTTGGCTTTTTTCCGTAGGTCATCTTTGATATTTCACTGTTTATTCTTGTTTTCCAAGTCCTTGTTCTGTTATATGGGTGGTATAAATCTGGATTGGATGATTGGATTTTACTAACTAGTTATTAGTTAGTTAAAAGTATTTGGTTTCTCATAGTAGAGTATGTATTAAATTTGTTAGAATCTGGTACTGTAGGTGATTCCCTCATAAAATCCATGCTTAACGATAATTTAGATAGACATTCAGGGATAATATTGTCTTTTGTTTTGTAGTCAGTCCCGACAAAAAAATAATAGCAGCGGGAGGGCCCCTACTAATTTTATTGGACAGTAGCATTTACCTGTAGGATTTATTTGTTTTTGTGGGCTTCAGTTACTTCAGATCATGCCAACCAAATATCTTATTAGCTCCTACTATTTAGTCAATTGGACAAGGCCTGAGTCTGAATATTATCTGTGCTTCTCCCTCCCTCCATTGCTCCCTATATATTAACCTCTTCTGGGGCGAAATATGAAAATAAGAAGCTTTCCTGTCATTTTATAACTTCATTACACATGTACATTGCGAAGAGACAACTAATGGGTCAAAACCATGGATATTTTATGTTGTGGGTCGTAGTAACATTTATATTGAGCTCTTAAATATTAATTGGTCCGTATATTTCCGGTTTCTGATTTCCACTGAACTTAGTTGTATTATATTGGATTCCATCTGTCGGGATGTAATTCTAAGTATTAAAGATAATAATAGTCAATTGCAGGTGCATCTATAGATATGAGAGAGCAGCATTTTATGCATGACTAATAGATACATTTTTCCTGTCCTATCCTTGTGTATTTTATGCTTTTCATATCCTAACAACCAACACCAGGAAAAGGAGAAGGAATTGTTATTGCTCCCCATGCAGCTGGTCACCTTTTAGGGGGCACGATTTGGAAGGTGACAAAAGACGGGGAGGATGTTATATATGCTGTTGACTTCAATCATCGAAAAGAAAGGTTTCTTCTTAAGACTGCACATGAGTTGTTTTAGCCCCAGAGTGCATTTATTTAGGGACAGGGAAGAAACTAACTGTTCTTGTTTCAATCAGGCATTTGAATGGAACAGTTTTGGAGTCTTTTGTGCGCCCTGCAGTTTTAATAACTGATGCATACAATGCTTTATTGAGTAATCAGCCTCCAAGACGTCAAAGAGACCAACAATTTTTAGGTAATCATTACCGCACATGAGTTTGTTATTGCTTTATTTGTAAAATGACCATATACAACTTTTTCTTGTGCAAAGTCGTCCATATATCCCTAAATATATATATATATATATATATATATATATATATATATATATATATATATA